ATGGCGAGATAAGATAGTTGCTGATGCATGAGGCTCAACGACAATGGTTTGTGTCTTGTCGATGATCATGGCTGGTCCTTGAATGAAGCTGCCCGGCTTCAGGTGCTCCAAGAAAAAGACTGGAGTGGTGACACGCCCGACGCCAGCAAAATACACCTCTGTGGAATCGTTCTGGCTCTGCTCCCCAATGACCGATGTTGTTATAGATCGCAACTCGGGCTGCGGCGCCTCTGGGGGGACAGAGATGGCCTTGCCTACTCCACGTACTCGTATGTCTTCGACTAGGATATTGCGACCTGGGAAGGTAAAGGAGAATTCGCGTTGATGCTCCTCAATAAAGGCTTCTCCAAAATCTCCGTTATCTGGTCTGAGTACCATGAGTGTATTATCGGTACCTTGGTATCGTAGATTGAGGTACACCTCATATTGTATGCGAGTCTCTTCAATACCGTCTACAGTCAAGGCTTCCGTGACCTTTGCCTTGAGAGCTTCGATACGGCCATTGATTGTTTCCATTGCGTTCGCGGTAAGGGCTCCAGACGCAGGCTCTTGGGCCTCATGCACCACATCAGCAAGAGCCATACCGTATGCGGAGAGAATCGACGAATAACGGTGGACTATGACGGTCTTTATAGACAGGGACGATGCAATTGCGCATGCATGTTGTCCACCTGCGCCTCCAAAACAGGCCAAGTTATGTGCTGCTGTGTCGTATCCTCGAGCCTCGGTCAATGCCCGGATGGGCTTTGCCATTGATTCGTTTGCGACTTGAATGAATCCCAGTGCAATCTCCTCTGGTGTCTTCTTGTGGCCGGTCTCTGCATTGATCTTGTCTGCCAATTCGGTAAATTTCTGGCGAGTGACCTCAATATCAAGGGACTCGTTCTCGTTAGGGCCAAAAATCTTGGGGAAGTACTCCGGGAGCAGACGACCTAAAAACAAATTTGCATCCGTCACAGTCAATGGGCCTCCTTTGCGGTAGCAAGCTGGCCCTGGATGTGCGCCTGCAGATTCTGGTCCGACTACGAATAGCCCGTGACGCCAGAACAGGATGCTGCCACCACCAGCCGCGACTGTATTGATATCTAGCTGCGGAGCCATCACTGTCACTCCTGAGATGGTGTTTTCGAAGGTATGTTCCAGCTTGCCATCATACCGTGAGACATCAGTACTGGTGCCGCCCATATCAAACCTGGGGTTTAGGTCAGCTAATGTCGCCCGTTCTCCTGTTGTCACCGGGGGTAAGGACATACCCAATAACGGGTTTCCTGTCTTCTGGGTCAAACGAGGTGCCTGCGTAACCTACAACACCACCTGCGGGCCCCGACAAGATTGCGCGCAAACCAGAGAACCTATGCACAGTGAGCTTGACTCGAGTTTTCTATGTGGAAAGAAGGTAATACTTTTGAAAGTTTACCAGACCACCGTCGCTTTGCATGAACTCGCAGCGCGTGTCTGACGATTGTAAATTATCCTGGAAGCCGGATCGGAAACCTTGGATATATCGTTGAATCACTGGCGTTAGGTAGGCGTCTGCCGTGGCTGAAGCGCCTCGGGAGGTCATTTTGATCATGGGAAGCAGCTGGCTAGAGAGCGAGATCTGCGTAAATCCGATCTCGTTGGCAATCCTCTCAATCGCCAATTCATGCTCTTGGAATGTATACGAGTGTACGAGACAGACAGCGATGGAGCGAAATCCTTCATTGTAAAGCTTTTGCAAACTCTGTCTTGTCTTCGCCTCGTCGAGAGGCTCCAAGACGCGAATGACCTCTCCACTGACACCCTTCTTCAGATAAGGGTCTGTCTCCAATGCCGCTTCAAGGCTTTCTTTATCTGGCGCAGGGTTCTGTTGATAGCCCTCTATAGTGACTCGCTCATCAATCTCCACCACTCCTTCATAAAGCACGTCGGGTCGCTGGATGTTCAGAGCAAAGAGCTTAGGACGCGACTGAGTCCCAATGCGGAGTGCATCTTTGAAACCCTTTGTTATCAGAAGCGCCACGCGTTCTCCTTTTCTCTCTAACAAAGCATTTGTGGCCACCGTCGTTCCCATACGGATACTGACGCTGCCAAAATCTGATGTGGTGAGTTTCTGGTCTCGGGGAAAGCATTTGCCTGTTGCTTGTTCGAGAATCCGGCGGATGCCTTCAATTGGGGCGTCTGCATAATTAGCTGGATCCTGCGAAAGCAGCTTAACAACAATGTCTTCCTTGCGGCCATCTACAATCCCCAGACAATCGGTGAACGTGCCACCACGGTCTACAGAAATTAGCTTTCCGGTCACTCATCTCAGGCCGGGTAACTCACCAATGGCGATTTTAATATTGAGTTTCGATGAAGACATGACTGTTGACTGAATATTACGGCAAAACACATGCGCTGAATTGTTCCTCCCAATGACCGGCGTGGCCTTTATAGACTGGGGTCCGGCATTCATCTCCAGCAGTGCCTCGCTCCAATGCCGGCGCTATCTTATCGTGCCCTATCATGCGACCTTAACGGTCCTTCGTTATCGGCCTCGCTCCGACCTTCCCCTTGCCTTAGCCTTGCGGACCATGGAGTGCTGATAACAAATGCCGACGTCGTTATCAGGTGCATCTATACGATGCTATAAAATCGACACTCGACGACATGGTTAGGATGATTCTCCCACCTCATCGATCCACATGCTACACTGGTCGCCATGACTGCCGACCAGAAGAAACCTGGCCTCGACAGCAGCGCCCCCAACGAGGAAAACATCAAGCATGGCCAGATAGATATCCTCGACCGTCGGTCGGAGCAAGGGGAAGATGTTGCAGTGCAATTTCTAGCTCAGCTCGATCCCGCCATCATGGCGGCACCCATCTCCGACACAGAAGCGCGCCGCGTGTTGTGGAAGATTGATTTGATTTTGATCCCATTGATCATGGTCACTTGCGTTCTCGCGGCAGTCGACAAGGTCATCATCTCCAATGCCGCTATCTATGGCATGGAGACTGATACCCATCTCACCGGCAACCAATACTCCTGGGTGGGCTCGATATTCTACTTTGGCTACCTGCTCTTCGAGTACCCCGCTGCGTTGCTCATCCAGCGGCTCCCCGTAGCCAAACTCTACGTGGGCATGGTCTTTGCTTGGGCAGTCTTGATGCTGTGCACGGCCGCTACGCAGAACTTTGCGGGTCTGGCGACAGTACGCTTCCTCATGGGTATGCTCGAGGCATCGGTGTTTCCCATCTCCAGCATCCTAACCGTCATGTGGTGGAAGACGAGCGAGCAACCTCTTCGGGTAGCCTTCTGGTTTAACCAGCTCTCATCCGTCTTCTCTGGAGTTGTCAGCTACGGCATCGGACACACCCACACAGCACTACACCCCTGGCGACTTCTCTTCCTCGTACTCGGCGCATTTTCCATCCTCTGGTCAATTGTCCTATACATCTTCCTACCAGACTCCCCAGTACAATGCTGGTACTTCTCCGACCGCGAAAAGTTCGTATGTCTAGAGCGAGTCAAAGACAACAACACCGGCATGGAAGATAAGACGATCAAATGGTATCAAGTGCGTGAATGTCTCCTCGACCCAAAGACATGGCTCCTAGCTCTTTTCTCGCTCGCTCAGAACATCCCTAACGGCGGCCTCGTCACCTTCTCCGCCCTCATCGTCACCGGACTCGGCTATTCATCCCTGATCACCACCGTCCTAGGCATCCCCACTGGTGTCCTCGCCACCGTATGGCAGATCCTGCTGTCTCTCATCGCCTCCCGCATACCAAATTCCCGCTGTTTCATCATCGCCGTCTCCAACTTCGTCCCTATGGCATGTGCCATTCTCATGTGGAAACTGCCCCGCTCCAACAAGCATGGCCTCCTCGCCTCTTACTACGTCTTTTACACTTACTGGGCACCTTACGTGCTATCTACTTCGCTCCCCATGGCCAACACCAGCGGTCATTCAAAGAAATTAACATTGAATGCTATCTTCTTCATCGCATACTGCGTTGGAAATATCATCGGTCCGCAGGTGTTTCGCTCCACAGACGCCCCGAGTTACTCGCACGGATATGAGGGCTTGCTGGCTTGTCTGGTTATTGCAATTGTCGCAATCTCAGCCTACGGAGTACTCTGTAAATGGGAGAACCAGCGACGGGATCGTGAGCAGCAGCAGCAGTGTGTTACTGTCTCGGAAGATGCAGCATTTTCGGACTTGACGGATAAAGAGAAGAGATCGTTCCGGTATACATATTAGTGTAGCATATGACTCCATTGGACTGGGAATGATACTGTAGAGAATAATAATACTACTAGCAATAAAATTGAAATTGAAACATGACTGCAATCTAATCCCGTAATGATATTGTTATTTATCTCGAAATACTTACATCAATCACTACTAACTAACTAGCATACTAGCGACATTATCCTAGTCGCCTTCGTAATAAAAAACCACCCAAATCCGCCTACTCCAAATCACCCCTTCTTCCACTCCACTAGTACTACTACGTAGTAGTATATGATCAACCCATCCAATGACCCCCCTTTAGATAGCACCGAGCGGGGTAACCCGAGACACTACGAATCATGTGGCCAAACGCTAACCGATAAGAATCCTCGAGTAAGTAATACCGTATCAGATAGCAGCATAGTAGGTTCTACTATACGTCGGGTTCTATAGCCCAACCTATGAAACTAAGCCCATGAATTTTCGAAGTGGGGAATAAGTAACGGGGTTTTCCTTGCAGATTAGGGTAGATACTAACTAGGCGGGAAGCTGGGAAGGTCGGAACGAGGGCCCGGGTTGTGTCTGGCTTTTGCTATTGCTATTGCTCGTTCTTATCTGATCATGTCTGTTCTCTGTCGGAGAGGTTATCTTGCTATCTATCAGCTGGGAGCTTTTATCGTGATAAGGGGTTGCGCTACTATGGCGGTTGAGCGAGAAGGCAGGTCGGTGCGACGTGGATACTACTCTTGTCCGAGGGATGGCAACTGAGGGGTTGTTGCTAACTGTTCTCCGATGCACGGTAATGATTTGATGAGCTGCACGAGATACTCATAAATAAATTAATATGACTCCGGTCACGAGTAGCAAGTGAGAAGAGCTATTTACTCATACTTGAGACTGGAATAAACTGAACCTGAACTCTACAATGGACCGAAATACACGAATTCTCATCGTCGGAGCTGGCTGCTTCGGCACCTCAACCGCTTATCATCTCGCCCAGCGCGGCTTCACGTCCATCCGCGTGCTGGATCGATATCCTGCGCCATCCTGCGAGGCCGCCTCCACCGATATTAGCAAGATCATTCGCAGCGACTACAACGAGCCGCTGTATGCACGGTTAGGGATTGAGGCGATTGCCGCCTGGAAGTCTTGGGACTTGTTCCGTGGGCTGTATCATGTCCCTGGCTGGATTCTGAGCGCATATAAACTGTCGTGTGCGTTTGTCGAAGGGTCGATTGAGACGTGCACCAAGCTCGGGGTGGAGGGATTGGAGCGCCTGTCGACGCAGCAGATCCGGGAGCGATTCCCCCTTGTAACGGGTGAATTGGATGGGTGGAATATTAACGTCTGGAATCCAACGGCTGGCTGGGCGGCGGCCGGGGAGGCCTTGCGACGCATGGCTGTCGCGGCGCAGGAGCAAGGGGTTGAGTATGTATCTGGAGAAGAGGGCTGGGTCAAGAGGCTGTTGTTCGATGATAAGAAGCGTTGCACGGGAGTGATCACGGCGGATGGCTCCACGCATGTCGCTGACTTGGTCGTGGTGGCTGCCGGGGCTTGGACGCCAACATTGCTGGACGTGGCGGGCCAGTTGACGGCCAAGGGCCACAGCGTGGCGCACATCCAGCTCTCCCCCGCGGAAACAACTCACTATTCCACATTGCCTATCATGGATAATCTGGAGCTGGGCTACTTCTTTCCGCCGCAGGCCGATGGGGTGTTCAAGATGGCGCACAGCCAGTTCATCACAAACATGCAGACGGATACACGGTCCGGAAACAAGTCGTCTGTTCCCCACACCTTTGTAGAGAATCCAGAAGATGATCTCCCGCTGGAGATTGAAGCTCAGATGCGCCGAAACCTTCGTCGTGTTCTACCAGAACTCGCCGACCGTCCCTTCTGTTATACTCGTCTTTGCTGGGACGCTGATACCGCTGACCGCCATTTTCTGATTTCACCGCATCCTGTTCATCAAGGGCTGTACTTGACGGCCGGAGGATCAGCGCATGGTTTTAAATTTCTGCCCGTGCTGGGCAAGTACATTGCCGACTTGCTGGAAGGATCGCTAGAGCCTGACATTGCCCGGCAGTGGCAATGGCGCGCAGGCCAGACGGTGACCGCGAAGAATCTCGCCCATCAGGATCCGGAGTTGGAGTTGAGTGACCTGACAGGATGGAAGGGGCGTAAAACACGTGAGAGTGGTCCGAGGTTGTAATAATCATCGAGATAAAGCAGGTATTGCATGCTAGAATGAATGAATCTATGTTAGCGCTAGCTTCAACCCTCCAAGCATCGTCATCGCATGTTCCCATTCAAAGCGCGCTGTCTTCCCTGACATGGCGCCGTTGGCAAATTCATTTTGGTTAAGGTCACGGCGTCGCCAGACCATCTCTATCACTTCTCTTGCCGGTGCGATATTCTAAATCATTAGCTTGTGACATGGTATATACGGGTGGACAGACGTACGCCAAACCGACGAATGGCCTCCCACTCTTGGAAGATTTGCAGAACAATGACTCTGTCGTTGTCGTCCGAGACACAGCAACCTGCTAGGAAGAGAGGCCATAGAGGGAGGACGGCAGTGCGCATCATATTGGACTTGTGCGCCTGAATAAGATTGAGAATCTGACGAACATAGCGGAATTTCTCCTCCGAGCTAAATGATAAACATGAAGAAATTGATTCAGAAGACGAGCATATCTCGTACAGGAGCAGTATTGCACCCAAGCGGTTTGCTTCAGCAATGACCATGCATTCTTGTCCTGAGTGTAAGTTAATATCCCCATGAGGTGGCGTCTGACGGAGCACCTCCAACGAGTGTTTCAGCCCATAAACCTTCTGAATGTCCAGCTCATGTTCTTGCCATGCCAAATCAGTCACCTCATTTATTAAGAGAAGTAGCGCGTGGCTAAACCCCATATAAGGATCAATAATTTCTGAGGATGGACTTGAAGACAAGGCAGAAAGACATGGGTGTGTTCGTGGCCCATCCCATCGAAAGGCCGTTCGGGCAAGAACGAGGTGGAAAGCAAAGTAGCGGTCGAAGAAACCAAGAAGCTCCTGACTGTGCTGCGATGATGATTTCCAATGTCGTTGCTTTCGAGCAGACATAACATCCTGGAACCCGTTAAGGTGTGTCACCCACGATGAACGACTATGATCTGAGATCTAATGGTGTCAATTCTCACAACTAATTGGGTGCATTATGGTGAAAAGGTTTCAATACCTCAAACCAACAGAGCATCAAAACAAGCCCCAAGATCTCACCCATCTCCCGATCCGACCAGCTGTCTCGATCTAGAAGAGATTGGAGGTAGAGTAGCGCACGATGATGGTGCTCCAAAGCAGGGACACGATACCGTACTTTGGAAAGACGCAGGGTATTTGCGGAAATCGCCAACGCCGCATGATAGATGCCGTCAGAGTTGAGGGCCATGGGCAGGATCAAGTACCGATATGGATTCGATTGCACATTGTCGACCAGGGTTGAGCTGCTGCAAATGACTGCCTCAAAGAATGCCAGTAGCATTTGGTCCTCGCTGGATCGATTCGAGGCCGTGGCTGGCATTGTATTCAATGCGGGTGATAGTAGCAGCCGTCGTTGATGACTGGGTAAGATCCCGCCATATACCGTTTGGTACTCCATACAGAGCCGGTTCACGTCGTCAGCGGACGTGTTTAGAAACATCCACTGCTGGTGCGACGCATTAGGCACAGTATGTCGCACCATCTCCAGACCCTGCTCATCTGAGACATCCTTTCTCTTCCGGCCATTCTTCGACCATACTCCGGCCCTCCCATGACACACGCCCTTGGCGATCGATTCATCAAGCCAAGTCAACTGCAAGCTGTATTCGCAGCACCGGCTGTTTCGCGCGCAGCGACGGCAGACGGGGTGGGTCTCTTTGCTGATGTGTTAGCTTACACTGGCTTTTCAATCCAAGAGGAAACTATAATACCATCACATTTTACCCTCCGGGACCTACAAGCCCAGCAGCCTGTCCGGGTGCGGGAGATGGTCGAGGGCGCCATGAGGTGGAGAGGAATTGGCGCGGAGAAAAGGAGTGGGTTATCCGAAGCCATTTATAGGCCACGCGGGGACACCCCGGCCTTATCAGCGAAACCTTAATAACATATCGGAAGAGTATATGCCCTTAAATAAATTGCAACTCGAGGAACTTGCTGTTTCATATTTCTGAGTACATTGAGAGCTATAGCTGCACTTGATGTGTGTTGATTCTGGCTTGTTGTGAAACCCCATTCCTCGGTGCCCCCGGTTCTTTTTCAAATGACTGGACTTGAAGATCGAGGTTTTGAAGCAAAGACATGCGAAGAAGGCCATCTGTTCTGTTGGTGCAACCACTTCCATGTTGTGAAAGAAGAGAACTGTGCATTATCAAATCCAATCAATATTAACTAAGCACCTTGCAACTGAACAGATGCTTGAGATATCCAGCCACTGGTGTCGCGATTATCTCTAAAGGTGTGCTGTAACGTCATATTTCGTAAGATGCTCCCCCGTTTGTCCGATGAAGCATTCTACATCTTATCACTATCTGGCACGCTGTGTCTGTATAGCAGACAGCAATTTGTGATGGAAATGCATCGCTGACTCCCGCCCCTCTCGGTCGCCCTTGATCCACAGCCCAATCATTAGCATGGATTGAATGAGAATACATGGCTCCTTGGTGAAATCGAATGTTCCCTTATGAAAGAAAGGCCAGACAGGATGAAATTCACTGAAGTAAATATCTATGAAATTCTGAGCAATCCACCGTGATGCGTCAGGAACTGATGCATTGAGCTCAACTATTAGGTCTCCGTGTATTTCAAGCACCTGTTGCTTCTCATCCCACTTGCGTTTACATTAAGCGAACAGCTCAAACCCCGTTACTGACACCGGCTTCATGGATGTCAACCGTCACCGCGTTCTTTTCGAGCATGGCACTTTTGGCGGGCCTTTACTGCCCGAGACTGGGGAGGCTTCCTCTCAGGGTGATATTTCCGAACATGACGGCGTAACAGATCGCTGATAAGCAGTCAGTTTTAGAGCAGATGCCAAAGGCTGGTAAATATTCTAAGCACCTTCGCCACGTGGACTTAAGAGGATTAGTTAGTTGGGAAATGAATGGTAGACTTTGTTTAATATATACTGGGTCTAGACATTGTGTGTTTTTAAAGCCAGTAGTACTCAGTAATATATCAGATCAGTATCCCACTCGGTCTCCCACCCGGGTTGACATTGAGGAATGCCACAAGAGCACTACCACTCTTCAGACCTTCCTTAGTAAGCTATAGTGTTGAGGACTTTGGTCAGGGTCGAGATAGTCTCCCTAACGCAATCTACGTCTCGGGTGATACTGTTTATGTGGAAGAGTTGAAGCAGATGGCAGAGCGCTTCCATATTTGCGCTGCGATTTTCAACCTCGGCAATGCTCATGCGCATACGGACATGACCGATCTCACTAGCCCTCGCTATCAGATCACCATGGATGGCAGACAGGCTGCTCGGCTCGTCCGTGAAATTAAGGCCGACTATCTTGTTCCAATGCATTATGAATCGAGGCATCACTCAACGCAGTTTGGAAAAGAGCTGCGTCAGGTTTTCCAGGAAGAAGGAATCAACGACCAGGTATGCTGGCTCAAACCTGGGGGAGCCTGTCAATGTTCTATGATTATGCTATCCACAGCGAGGGTCCACGATATAGTCGCCGAACTCCTGTTTTGCCTCAAACGACCATGTGTTACCGCACGTGTCTGCAGCCGAAGATGTCATCTCTTACTAGCAAATACCATCCAATTACTCTGGTCTTCGCTTTCTAGACCCTTTCTCTTGTCAGAATTCCATACTAGTAAAATACGGTACCTACAGCTTCAATATATTCTCTTACATGTAGTACTACTATTAACAACTGATCGAAAGCATTAGCTGCCTGGACAGACCATAGTGGGCAGCGCAGGGAGGCTTGAGATGTATTACAAACAGTGCATATCGCAGGATCCAACAAACCACCGTGGTCTAGCGTTGTATGAAACGAATAGACGATAATAGTAATACTAGATAAGTGTTCGAAAAGGAAAAGATAATTCGGCAGCCCGTGACCTCAAGCACGTGGCCTCAGCCCCAGTGGGCTCTTTCCAACCCTCTTCTTCCTCGTCCTCTTCCCCAACTTGTCCATAGACAGGCAATCATTTCATCATCGATGAGAATTTGCAAGTCCTGTGTTCAATTGTTCCCGATCGCCATTACTGCTTCGTCTGATTTCTTGGCTCTGGCTATGGATGCTAGCCTTTTAGGGCAAATGTATGGCGTTCCTTGACACGCTGTTCTCCCTGCACTGACAAAGCAGATCGGCTTATGTTCCACCTCAGCCTATACAAGCCATGCTGTGATGCATAAAGCGTATTCTGATGACCCCCACGACGCGGGTACCTCACATGCCAAAGGGATTTTCATCCTCTTACGAAGCCTTTCTCGGCGGCAATAGAATTACGACTCGTGAATGGCAGCCTTTTGCAAATGCATACGTACGCTGGATGGGAGCACCTGGATTGAAGTGAGGAGCTAACGTAATTCAGACGGTGAACATTAGGAAAATGCGGAGAACACCGGCCACGAAGGAATCCATCGTCTATTTTTGTGGTTGGTCTCAGGTGTTGCAGTTACTAGTGGGCATTTGAATTGAACTCAACACTATGCATACCCCTTACGGAACACGCTTCTTCCAAGAACTCCATCGAAGCAATTCACGATCTGCATTATGTAGGCCTTGGCGATAATGCAACACGTACTTGACCAAGTACTTATGTCTTCAAGGTAATTCTTCGGTGGAAGATCGACTTTTGAATGTGCCCCAATAATAATCGGGGTGACTCGGAAATGATGCTGCCTTCAGTTTCCGGTGGCCCTGCCAAGACAAGAAATATGTAAGTACTACCGCTTCAAAAGATGCAGGGGACGTAGCCCTGCCTGCCTGTGCTAATAGCTGGTGCGGCTGTCTAATTACTGACCCAGATTCAGATGAGCTTAAGACATTTGGGGCAAAGCCTACTGGCCCTGGACGGAGACCCCGAAAATTATTCTTGCAAGAAGTGCACTTTTCGAACGGTCAATACGCCCTATGTGGCCGTTGTCGTTTCAGACATGATGAGACACCATGCAAGGGGCAACAACGAGGAAGTTGCAGCCTGCCATTACGCCATTCATGGACCCCAAAAAAAGCGTAAAATGTGAGAATGCATGATTGGTCATACATAGCATCTTTCAGCTGCCCACAGGCATTACGTACGATGCAGCATACTGCTGTCAGCCAAGCCATTAGTTGTCGCAATACTATGATCGACAACGACGCGTATAGTCATGGTCTTGGATCAATCCCTTTTATTGCATTTTGAAGAGGCTATATAATGATGCTCAGTTACCCACCATCCAACTACTCGCTTGTACTCAAATTATTCTAATTCGAGTGATATTAATACTTTTAGTGAAAATGGGTCCACCGTATGTTCCACCGTTGTCGCACTTGAGGGAATGATGTGACTAATATATCAACAGGGTGAGCGGAACACCGCTTTCATGGCAAGAGCTTCAACAAGTTGCACCTATTGCTCGTCAAGGAGCCGTGGAGGTAAGTGCTTCCTCCCTTCTCGATGCATGTCGCTAACGGAGAAAGCAATTGCTATCTCTATGGAAGAGGCAGAAAGATAGAAGCGACTTGGAGCCACTTTGGGGTGACGAGGTTTGACATCACTTGCTGTAGTTGTATTGCCGGAGATGCTGACTCGACAGATTGAATATACCCTGGTCAGCCTCGATGCGGACAGATCGCGAGCAACACTGCTTCTTAACCAAGAAGATATTTTACGAAAAGAGGAGAGCCAATGCTCTAGTGCTGAAGAGGTGTAAGTATTTAGTAAGCATTCAAAGACAGGATACTGAGACATGGTAGTGAACCCTGGAACGAAGTTAAGTTACAGGCAGAATGGGCTCGACATATGGTAGAAGCAACTCCAGGAGAGCCATACGGGGGAGATGTCATGGATTTACTCAGGGTTGAAGGCAACATGAAGCGACGGTATGTTGTTCTCTCTGCAAGTAGGCCTATTATTGACTTCTTTAGACGGAAATTGATCGGACAATTCCTATCGCCCGACCAACACCCTGTACCATTATGTGTATTCCCCGGCCTAGGTGAAAAGGGACAGTTTACACTCCCAGAAAGTCCGGATGAATCCTCTCTTGAACAAATCTGCTGTCCCATACCACGCTATATAATGATGACGCAGAACTTGCTGGCACGCCGACAACGGCGTGTTGAGAGCTACATTCCAGTCTTCCGGGATGAGCAGACAGAAACACCTTTTCATGACAATTCTGTGTCATTTGAATACCCCGCAGAACATCCCCCGGGTAATGGGAAGGAGGGTCATGTACATCTGGATGGGATTGGTCTCGGGGTCGGGAATTGCTGCATTCAAGTTACGTTCCAGGCTCCTAATGAGATTGAAGCCCGATGGTTGCATGACCAAATGATTGCATTGGGGCCAGTTATGCTAGCACTTACCGCTGCGACACCGATATACAAGGGCTACCTGGTAGATACAGAAGTGCGCTGGGGCCGAACCTCTGAATGCTTTGACGATCGCACACCGGAAGAATTAGCCACCACGGTATTATGCACACACCCTATAGTTTCTTGGCTTAACTAACTCATGCAATGTAGCCACCACGTTATTCTTGGAACCGCACATACATCTCGCAAGAGAAGCCAGCCAATATGGAGAGCAAATACCCGCTGACTCCTATGAACGAGTCGGTTAAACAACGCTTACTAGATGGCGGCATGGATGAACCTTTGGCGATGCATTATGCCACTATTCTCTCACGGGACCCAATTGTGCTCAACCGAACAGACCTGGAAAACTTTGACCTAAATGGTACGGGCATATTTGATGTCTACTACAGCACTGTATGGCAACACGTCCGACTCAAAATCCCCTTAACCGACGACGGGCCCGGCTGGCGGGTGGAGTTCCGGCCGATGGAAGTACAGTTGACCGATTTCGACAACGCTGCTTTTGCAATTTTCATGTACCTTCTCTCTCGAGCCATAACGGACCTTCACCTGAACTTTTACGTGCCTATCGACCAATTGGGAGATTCCATGGAACGCGCGCAGAAGCGTAATGCTGCCCTCGAAGAGCGCTTCTGGTTCCGTCGGACCGGATGGTCATCCGCAGAGCAGTGCGAGCGTCCACAGCGTCAGCGAAGAGGCTGTGTCAACTGCTGTTCAAAGTCGACTGCACATGCATCACCATCATGTGCTCTCCTTACCGCGGATGAGATCATCAATGGCGAGGATCCAAAGGACCCCTCCAGCTTCCCTGGACTGGTGAACATCGTGCGCGCTTATCTTCAGTACAATAACACGCCCATGATGGAGCAAAAGAAGATCATGCCCTACCTGGATGTGATCAGTAAGCGAGCAAGCGGGGAGCTTCCGACCCCAGCTCAATGGATGCGCTCGTTCGTGACCGGACACGAGGAGTATCAGCGAGACAGCTACGTGAATGAGAAGATCCGTTATGACTTGATCCAGGAGATTGTTCGGATGGAAGATTCATGAGATGATGATTTTCAAGCGCAAGGTTTTTGGTTCATATGCATAGCTATAGAAGTATCATAGATGACTTTGTATCTACCTTTCTAATCATGACAGTTACGATCATACCATCCTTTGTTCAATTTAGCCACGTCATAGCTTAGGATGATGTTGTGGGCGGTGGAATTAGCACTGAAAACAAGGCTGAAAGATTGAAGTAGAGCACATTCCATGCTGCGTCATGTCGCAGATCATGCTTCTACCATTGCAGATCATTCATGCTAGATTAGTATGACGATGTAAGGCCGGTGGCAGGGATGACTAGGAACTTAGCACGGAGTTTAGATAAGAGAAATGCCTGCCACCCGCAACTCCAGCCCTATTTTTAAAGTTCAGGAACCGCTAAAGCCTGGCATTTCAGTGCTATGAATATATTCAATTGAAGTGATACAAAAACTGAAAAGAAATCAAGTAGATGAAATAAAAATACAAGCTGATCTACAGAGGTTGAAACCAATGAAACCCACCCTCCCCCTGCAGGTAAGGTAGTACAACACCCACTCCCCGGAGCAAGGGGGAAACGGAATCGGATGATGATGATAACGAATACGATCCATCACACCTCATCCGCAAAAGTACTCTTCCTTCTCAACCTCTCCTCAAACGACCACCACATCCACGCGATCGGACGCCCGATAACATTCGTCACAGACCCCAATAAACACCCAGCACGCGATACATATCCGGACTGAACAACGGAAACCCGATCCCAGTTGATTCCTACCGGGATGCCACCGTTTGCCATTGGTTGATACGTGTTCGTACAGTGGAAGATGCCTATGAGTAGGTTGG